TGCTTCACTGGATAGAGAGGGAGAGAGAGATGTTTTATAACTGCTGCTGGAATGCTTCGACTGAATGCTTGGTTTTGAATAAACATTCTTTGCAATTTTGTAGTCAATTAGAAAACTGGCCAAGCAGCGCGCTCTTGTGTGTTTGCATACGTCTCTGTTAGATCAGGCAAAACCATTTTATTTTTGGTTTTTACACAAATATTAATTGTATTTTATTATTTTAAATGAATAGAATAGTGTTGTATAGAGATTTTATTTCGAGAAATGTTTTGATTTCATCATAAATATCATTTTGTAAACCTAATATTTTTCTTTTTCCAAAAATAATAAAATGCTTTCTATTTATAAATTTAAAGCATCTCCAATCTCATATTTGTAATTTAAGTATTTCGTTTGCCTATGATTATTTTTATAAACTACAAGGAAAGTCATGGAATTTTGACATTGCATTTTCCAGGCCTGGAAAAGTTTAGGAAAACAGAAAAACCCACAAAGTTTTGGAAAAGTCATGGAAATTAGTATAACAAATATCTGTATACTTAAATTAGGGCTGCGCGATATTGGATAAATCTGACATTACAAGATTTCGCATTTCTGTGATATATATTGTGATGTGAATACAATTTCACCAGATGATTTAACTGGTTTATTTGGATTGATTGGGGGATTTTGTAGAGTGAATCTCGGATAATATAAAACAAATAAATTATACTAACATAGATAAATAAACTATAGTAAAGATAGCATAGTCTACAATGTATATTATTTAATTTTACAAAAAATGTAATCTTACAAAAAGAATTTAAAGTTACAAAAAATGTCTCGTGGCCGGATGTTTTAAAATTTGAAATATTGAAATGTTCACACTGTCACAAGCCTTTAAGGGGCATTTTGCTCAAAGATTAAAATGTACTCACTATTTACTCACACTTCACTTGTTTTAATACTATAGGAGTTATTAAATTATATTCTTTTTGTGTTCATTTAAAAAAAGAAAACTCATAAATGTTTGAAACAAGTGAAGGGTGTAATGAAATTTTGTCATTTTTGAGTGAACTATCTCTTTAAAAATGCATGCAGATGATAAACTTTTACTCCATTATGATTGAACTCTATATTAAACTATAATCCCAACATTGCATATCCTGCGATGTGACTATTGCGGATGCACACATTGTGATATCGATGCTGAAACGATATATTGTGCAGCCCTAACTTGAATATAGTTTAGTTGTCTTTATTTTTTGTTCTTGGCCACACTCACATTGTTAGTGCCTTGTAAGCATTATCAAAATAGATTGTTATGTGTATCATGATATGCTGTAATAAATTTGAACGTCATTGTTTTTCTTATAATTTACCATGCATATGTAGACATTACATGAAGCATTATGTCATAAAAATAAACATGCACTTGAAAGTTCTGGAAAAGTCATGGAATTTTAGTTGTAAAAATGTGTATGAACCCTGAAACTATTATTATTATTACTATTACTATTATTATTATTATAAATAATTGTTATTTGTTTACTCCTTAATTTAAATTTTAATTTACTTGACTTAATTGTTTTTTATAATGTTGTATGTGAATTATTGCTTATTTACTATTTTAGAATCTTTTTGTTAATACCTTTACACAAATGTGCCTTTCGGGTGGACTATCCCTTTATAATTATTTGATTAACCAGCCTTGTCTTGTCAGATTTTACGCAAGATGACATTAGCGGCCCATAATTTGACAGCTCACAGGCTCTAATCTAAATTCATCAGTCATCAAGGCTCTTGTTTGATTTGCTGATGCTCTTTTTCACATGGAGGCATTAGGTAAACAAATGCTCTCGCGTTCACTAGGACAAAGCCTCCTGTACGAGACTGACATCACCTGCCTCTTTCTCTATCCGTCTCCTCCTCTCCTTCCCATCAGGCCATTGTCTTCCGCCCACAGTTGATCAGCATCTTAATGCGTTTCTGTTATGTGTGGATCCTTGTCCAAATAGAGCTCTCATTAATGAATCAATCATGGGTGAAGTGCGAATCAAAGAGGACGATGAAAAGAGCCACGGGGGCCCTGAAGCTCCTGCACCTGTGGGCAACATCATTTTCATATTGTACAATAACTTAACACATCCTGTGAGGTCATAGCAGGGATGATTGATTTTAAAGGGGCGGTTCATTCAAAATCGACAAATTGCTATTGACACCATGGGCCCAATTCCAATCCTATTTTTTACCCCTACCCCTACCCCTTCCCTTCCTGTGCATTTACATCGTGGCTGTATTCATCTGTGTAAACACACAAAAAACAGCATTAACATTATAGCAGGCACTATAAAAAGCCTATTCCTAGCCAATAGAAATTTCAGACAGGGGATTCGAGTGACATATGATACTATGTTGTGGGACTGCTATACAGAAGTTATTATTATCGATTGTAGATTGCATATTTTCAAAATTAGTTTTTTTAATAGTTTTTTTTTTAAGGATGATGTTAAAACATGAACGCCGTTATGAATGTATTAAAGCATATGCTTGTGTTGGCGCCAAGCCTAGTGGTGCCAGCATACAGCACAATCGTGCTCATGGCGACCCGAGTTTAATTGCTGGCTCTAGATCCTTTGCCAACCCTTCCCCTCTCTCTGCTCTCAATACTTTACTGTCTGAAATCTTCACTGTCTTATCTCAATTAAAGGTGAAAAATAAAAATAAAAAAACATATGCTTGTTTGTTGTAAAAATTCGTAATTATGACAAAAAGTCTCCTTCAGTGTGCAACCCTGTAGCCGTTGTAGATTGTGTATTCTAGGAAATTTTCGTACCTCTTGGTTTAGAGTGTGGTCCTGAAAAATCTCTGTATCAAGGGCTATCTAGCCCTTCTCCTTAGCCCTACGCCTTCAAGCTAAAGAGAATTAAGACACCCCTACTACTTCACGTGAACGCGCAAAACAAGGGGGCATTGCTAAGGGGTAGAATTGGGATTGGGCCTTAATATACTTTAAGAGAAGCATGTGCTTATCAGTGATTCTAGAATTGCAGGTACGTTTTATATCTTATAAGGTTAAACTTCTAGTTATTTAAAAAATAATAATAATAAATTTATAAAACTGTATGAACGCTTTCTCTAAAAATAATGTTTTATGTGTATTTTTTTTATGTTAACTTAAAGACCTTCACTATACCTAATTTTATAGTTCCTGCCTTCTGAACCATTCTAAGTTAAACACACCTTTACATTAAATCTATTTTCTGTATTATTTGTAACTTCAGTATTTAAAAAATATTTTTTTGTCTGCCCCTATATGTTTTGGTCAACAACATCAGTTCTAAAAAGGCCTAATAATCTTTAAAGCACTGAAAGAAAAAGCATGTGACTTGCTCAGTGATGTTAATTTCTTTGGCGGGAAACTCTGGAAGACATTCAGGCATGTCAATAGTCTTCTCTCATAAATTTGTACAAAATGTTTAGCAAACACCAATACTACATTACCATATTTTCAACTGTTATTGTGATATTTTAGTTAATTTCTCATTCCCTTTTTATAAAAAAATAATATTGTGAAAAATGTGTACAATTCTGTTTTAGAAATGTGATGCGGTGTTTGATTTGAAGTTGGCATCTTAAGCTAACACACACAATGGTGAAAAATGTCAGCTCTGTTAATATCTACTCAGTTGATTTAATGTAACTTAAACTTTTAATACTCTAATAATCGATGTAGTTTTCTGTAGTTATTTAGACTGTATGAATCAAAGAGGACCACAGCTGACAATCTTCTTTAAGAGACATTTTACCAGAAACGTACATTATCTGTCCCTGAAATAAAACATAAATACAGTGAATAAAAAGTATTTCATCCCCCCAAAAAATCTATAAAGGTTGATTTCTGTGAATTGTTCTGTAAAGTAATATGTCATTTATTTGGTTCTCAGATTTTTTTTTCTCTATTAAAAGCATTTTACAAATTTAGAAAACTTTGTCATTGTCCTTGTCCTCAGCAAAACTGAACGTACAGCTTTAATACTTTTGTTATTTAGAAAAAGATACTTCAGAAATAGCAAGGTTAAGTTATGTTTTAAATCAGTTGATTAAAAAATGATAAATTCCACAAATAAATACTACTATATAATACAAATAATGTACAATTGTCTCCATGTTTCGTTTAGTCATGTCATATTTACAATAAATTTAACATAAAATGCATGCAGTACACCTTAAAGATGATGACTCAAAGGAAGTGATTTAATGAAGAAGCTGACAGTGATCAAGGATGCGTTCTATCATTGAATTGTATGATTTTAAGCTTGTTTTGTAGGATTTTTTAGAGAAAAACAAGCTTAAAGGTCAGGCCATCACATTTTATATAAGTGAAAATGTACGTTTCTTGTAGAATTACCCTTAATGTGCTACTGACCCGCCCATGATTGTGAAGGACTTTGGGTGTATGGCCATACACAATACATGCGCTATCTAAATACACAGTACTTACTGTCACCGACATCTTGATTGGGATGGGAGAAAGTAAATTACCACATGTTTTCATTTTAGGCTAAATTATTATTTTGTTTCAGCCCAATGGATTGTCAACCGCCTGCGATTTACCTTCAACCTCTGGATATCATCTATAAGTCGTTCTATATTTAAATAGCCAGTTAATTGCTTGGTAACCAGTTTCCCAGCAACATCGCAATGCTTTCTGTTCTCCTGACCAGCAAGTGTAGGTTTCACTCCTGGTCTGTTTCCATGAAGTGGCTATTCTGTTATATCACATACAGCCCCTACTTGGTTTTCAGGATGAAGAAAACAATGATACTCAGCACTTGTTTGTCATATAAGCAGACGCAAAACCTTAGGAGTCTTTGAATTGGAAATCCCCCATCAGCCACTGGAAGTGAAAGTGTTTTTATGCTGTGTCAACATGCCAGTGTTTGAGTATCGTGGCGTTTAATGGAGATGTCTTTTTCTCTTTGTTTTTCCTTCTCTTCCTCCTTTCTCTCGCTCTGCAGACTGTTCAATTTGTCCAAGGGATCTTTGTGGAGAAGTATGACCCTACAATAGAAGACTCGTACAGAAAGGCAAGTTCTGCATCATTTCTATTGTCAAACCACTGTCTTAATAATGGATTCCAGACTCAAAATGCAATTGACTGTTTTCCTGGGCCAACACACGCACACAGTACAGTGACACAGGGCTGTTAGTTGTCTTTGTTTCCTAAAATAGTCTGTGGCATTTTTTTTAAATATAAAAATTGGACAAAAATATTGTTTAAGTTGCATTATCAAAGAAAGGCATTCAGATTATATGATTTATTTTGCCAGAGGGGTAAGAAAATACATCACACAAAAAATTAATATCTCACAATGTGATTGCTCACATTAATAAATATTAATACATACTAACATATCTTTAAAATACGCATATTTGACTAGGGTGACACTATAGCACTCTGTCACCTTACAGCAAGAAAGTCGCTCTGGCTGTCCCAGCTGGACTTTCTGTGTAGAGTTTGCAAGATGCTCTTGTTTCCCCCACAGTCCAAAGACATGTGCTATAGGTGAATTGGATAAACTAAATTGGCCCTAGTGTATATGTGTGATTAAGTGTGTATGGGTGTTTCCTGGTACAGGATTGCAGCTGGAAGGGCATCCGCTGTGTAAAACAAATGCTGGATAAGTTGGCGGTTCATTCTGCTGTAGTGACCCCTAATGAATAAAGGGACTAAGCCAAAGGAGAATGAGTGAATGAATGAATATTTGACTGAAATACTTTGTGCCGTGTAAGAAACTTGTATTATTCTGATGATATTTGGCAACCAAATAAATACGAATGCATTAAGAAGAAAAACAATCAATTAAATTAAACATTTAGTTTATCGTTCTGTTTCTCACCTATAATGTGACAAAAAAAAGCTAGCAAAACTTTCAAAATGAATTTTGGCTATAAATAAATGTATAAATGTTCAAATAAATACATATTTAAACAAATTCATTGATTAATTCATAAATAAATAAGTCAAGTTTTCTCTATTGTCATTTAATATCCCAAAATGTGATTTTGTTTTTCATAAATAATCATTTTATCCCACAGTTGCTACATTTTTCTTCCCGTTTTACTCTTATTTACTGATATTTTGGGTTTTATATTTCAAATATTATTTTTATAGACTTTCAAAGATCACACAATTATTAAAGAAAGAAAGAAAGAAAGAAAGAAAGAAAGAAAGAAAGAAAGAAAGAAAGAAAGAAAGAAAGAAAAAAAGAAAGAAAGAACGAAGGAATGATGCGTTTATATTACCAAAAATCTCACAGACAACACAATCAGATATTACAAACTATCAACGCTATCAAACTAGCAGTTTTTTATTGGTCAACACAGTGAATTACTCTATGGATAATTTGCCAAACAATAAGAAGTTTGACCACAGTTAAAGGTGCTGTATGTAGGTTTTTGACTCTTCTAAAGCAAGTGAACCTTCTTGTTTATCTGAATAACAATGCTAATGTCAGATATTCTGAAACTGTGCTTTTCATGCCAGAACGTCAGGCTTCGTTTTGGTATTTCATTCATTTGACCACTGAGTGTCAAACTTACATATTGCACCTTTAAATTTCCATATAGAGCATTTCAATGCGGTCATGTCATTGGCCCTTGAACATTTCCTGCTTGTTATCAAACTATTTCATAGCAGTAATAAGAGGCAATTCAATCATAACTTAATGTTAAAACAGCTATCATACCCTTATTTATCAACATATGGCTCTTTTTGGATTCTCAGACACTATAGAAATTAAAAATGTAAAACAGGAAATACCTTAGGACCATTGTGTTTGCTTACATCCCTCAAAATGGTCTATAAAGCATCATATTTGAGTCTACAGCTAAAGACAGTCAAACTGTCTTACAAAATCCTATGTAGATTTTGCATGTGCTTCCAATTTCCAATGACCAATTACTGTAATAACACAACAATATGCGGATGCTCATCAGCTCTATATGTTCAAACTGTTAAACAACCTATAGTTACACGAAACCTAAATGGCTACAGCCCTTTGCATCAAACCTTAATGGCCCCCATTATAATCAATGAAGCTGCCTATAATCAATGAGCTGAAAAGGGCCTTCTGTGACAGCGCTTGCAGATTGTTTTCTGCTTGTGTCAGACTTTTTCAAATTGCAGATCCATATCATGGCAGAATCTCAATCAGCAGACACATTTCTGCAGGACGTAACGCACGTCAGAAAGCTGCAGCGTTCGATGAGGTTTATATTTGTAGGGCCTCTGTCCAAGGCTCAGAGACAAAGGCCCAATCTAAAAATGAACGTTCAGTCGACAGTGAAAGGAAGTGTCATCTTGACCAGTGCCTCCCTTCCTTACAGTCGCTTACGCTCGTGTCCAGTGGCCACTTCCTGCTGTTGACGAACAGAACTACAGTTTATTCCTGGACATTTCCTATGCTGGGGATATGGTGGCTCTAAATGTTTAAAATTTAAGACACAGTTATAATATTTACCTGAAACCGAAATATTTTTTAATAAAAACATACTTTTTGTCTACTAATTGTGTATATTTACTAAAATGATCAGCTAAAATAAGGAAAATGTTGACAAAAACTAATTGGACAGACACTAAACAAACCGACACAACAAAATTATTAAAGAAAATTTTACAATTGAAACATTTAAAGTGTTAAAACTAGATAAGCAATTAAAACATATACACCGACCCACGCATATACATGACTAATCCAAATAAAAAACGAACCACAAAATGATTAAGTGAAGTGTTAAAAGTCAAATATTGAACATTTTAACAGTCTGGTGATTCAGAGGGAAAGTGAGCTGCTGACAGGAAGTGAGCAGTGCTGGAATGTTCCACTGTGATCTCTGTGGGGGGAGAAGATGAGCACTAACAGGCTCAAACTAATTGCAGGCTGTATTTTAATAATGCAACACACAATGACAGTCAGATTGATGATGTTTTTCTGCTGTTTTTCATGTCTGTGCAGCAAGTGGAGGTGGATGGACAGCAGTGTATGTTGGAAATTCTGGATACTGCCGGAACGGTAAGTTAGACTTAAGTGGACATGTATTGTGTGTGTGTTTGTGTGTGAGTGAAAAGTATAGTACGTTAACCATTAACACCAAGGTGGTGTTAACATTCTCATCCTCTAATTTTGTTATTTTTTATTTTTCTGCATTAAATATTGCGCTATGAATACCGATTCAGAAGATTGTTTGAATTGCTCTATTTTCTGGCGAGTCTAAAAGTTTTCAGGTCCAAAAATTTAATGATCACAATGCAAAAAAAAAATGCTTTTCTTATTTTTTCTCTTGTTTCTGGTCCAAATATCAAAGAAAATTTTTTAGAGCAAGTAAAACATATTGTTTAGTTTTCACCGTCAGAAGTAATATGGGAAAATTAGGAGTTTTTTTGCCTGTTTTAAGGAAATTATCTGTCAGTGGGATAAGTGAAATAACCTTGTTTTTGCTTTGAAATGTAGATGTTTGGACTAGAAACAAGATAAAATTCTAAGTAAGAATGTTTTTTTGCATAAATCCTGTAAAGTCCATATAAATACAGTGATTAAAAACAACAATGTAGCTCCTGGTCTACTATAATTCAGACTCAACATTGCATATCTTTGGGATGTGACTATTGTTGATGCACACATTGCGATATCGATGCTGAAACGATATCTTGTGCAGCTCCACTATGAAGTTATTTTAAAACATCTCTATAAATTTTTAATAAAAAACTTGTATTTTAAAAACCAAAAATACAGTTCGAATCATATTTTAAGTCTTTTTTTTTATTACATTTAAAGTTTACCTTTATCATTGCCTTTTAAATAAGGGGGCAAATGAAAATCATTTGTGAAAGTTTTATAACAATTATAAAAAAAATCCCTTATAAATGTTTTTATTATTACCGTCAAAGTATTGTTCAGCTTTCATCCATTTAATTCTCAACAATAATATGCTTTAAATGGAAGTAAATTCAATATTTTTGGCGTGTTAATCTGCCGATGAGTCAACAACATCTAGATAATGTGATAAGAACAGCTTTCATTTCAAAGCTTTAAAGATTTGTCATTTCAGTCATATAATTGCCTTCAGCTAGTGTTTCAGATAGTGTTTGAATTTCCCATGATGTCACAGCCCAGATAAAATCTTGACTGGTAACTGCCAGCGTCGGTGTGCATTAAGTCATTCGTGTTAACTTTTAACCAACAATCAAAAGCTTAAATGGCTAGTTTAGATTCAAAGACTTCAACAAAAAAGTACCAGATTTAAAATTTAAACACTCTAATCCTTTTTTGTTTTGCATTTGTGATGACTTTAGCTCACATGATCATTTTCCCCAGCTCTCCCCCTTGCTGTAAGTTAATTGATAACAAACTGTGCACATGTCCATCTTCATGGCAATCCTCATCTTGTACAGGTGCGCGAGGTCACCAAGCCGTTTTGGCCCCTATGGGGGATAAAGACATGTTTTCAGTTTCACAAGCCCCCGTTTTACAACCCCAAGTTTGATGACAGATGGTGAATGTTGTCCTTGGGCTCTGTGTGCCAGAATGAAGCCACGGTCAAGTGAAACTGAGCCAGAGAAGCGGAGAATATTCCTGTCGGAGATGCACACTACAAATTGGCTAGTTTTTTGCACAGTAGAATTGGATATTGTTGAGCAGTGCTAGTTCCAAAAAAAACATACTGTGGAGTATAAACTTAAATGCCGTGGGTGAGGACAAACTAGAAAAGTCAAAAGTGGAAGCTGAGAGATGACAATTTATTTTAAACTTTAAAATACAACAGCTAATTTACAGTGTAAAAAATGCTGAGTTTCATAAAACTCCATGTTTTGCCAACACAAATCCTTTACGTGGATTGAACATAAAACAAATAATAAAAAACCTTAAGTATTGTGTTGTTTCAACTCATTTTAAAGAAGTAGTTTACACAAGCAGTATAAGTTTTTTTTGAGTGCAAGTCAGTGTCAGGTCGTATAAATCATTTTACAGTTACTAGGGATAATTAAATACGTCTCACACAGGTCAGTGGGCTTGACAAACCACCTGTAGAAAACACACTGTCTCATCTCAGTTAGAAAACAATAAAAAAAAATCACTATGCATTATGCACTATGCATAAAGGTATGGGTTGATAAACCATCTGTAGATGTTGAACACTCTTCTCTTTCTCTTTCTCTATCTCAATATTTGTGTATAAAAAACACTCCCCCTTAAGGCTGGTGCATGCTTCTGCATCGAGTGATCGGCATGACCCATGCCACACGTCTTGCTTGTAGCCGTGCATTTATACTTCTGCAACCTTAATGTACAAGTAGCTAAAACTCACTCATTCTAAACACCTAACAAAACTTTCCACCTGGACCTCCTCCACGGGACTCCACACTTGTAAACACTCACTCCAGTGGGTTTGCGTGGCTCTCACCACCACACACACTCGTCAGTGCTACCAAGCCGACCAATCACAGAGCTTGCGCTACGCATCGTTGTGAAATGTAGTTAAATTTTTGAGTGGCACGGCCACGACGAGGGCTGTGCGATCAAACACAGGCTGCGCCAAGAGTGTACACATGCGCTTGACATAATCCAGCTCTGCCTTTATTTTAATTACTCATTTCACAAGCTGTTTCACTTGGATATGTCACAATATGAGAAAAGGACAATCACAACTTCTGCTTCATCCCAACTTTAATCTCGACTAAATGCATACAAAATAAATGTTTTTGTTTACATAATATACACAATGATATTAATCATTGTTGTCCTAAAACTATTGAAGAACACACATTTTTGTCTTAAGACAATTTAAAAGAAAACATTTTTTGATCCACTTATTTGTGAATCATTTAAAAATATCAACATGTGTGTGCAGTTATGTATACATAATAATTATGCAATGTACACATATATTTATTATATATATATTATATTATTTACAAATACAAACCTTTACACAAAATTTTTACACAATAAGTTGCAATTAATTGATAAATATAGCACAAATTTTTGCATTTGGCTAAACAACTAAAAAAGTTTATCGTGGCAAAAATGTAAATGCATTAAAAATATATTAAAATATGTTAAAAGTGTGTGCATTTATGGTGGTGGATGAGGAGATTGCCGCCAAAAATGTGTAAAACGCCTTTAAGTGTCCAGAAAAGCGTTAAATAATTGTAAGGAATTATTATTTATATAAACATAATACTAAAATATACAGAGTACACACATATATTATGCAAATACAAACCTTTATTTTGTACAAGAGTTAACCGTTAAACAGCACTAAATCACAAATAAGTATGAATACCTTGCTTTTGTGCAGTATTTGTGCCTGTTCATACACATTTAACATTGAAGTGTTTCAACAATAATAATAATCTTAGCATATGTTCATTTTGACTACCTTTAAAAATGGAAAAATGGACAACCTTCAAACATTTAGCATAAAATAAGTAATCAATATTTAGCATAATCTACTTATTATTGTTTTTTTTAAGAAAACACATCTCAAAACGAGATGTTTTGAAGAATGTTAAAGCTGCCCGTTTCTTTGATATGAATAGTGTTGTTGTTACACCCCAGTGCTCACAAGGACCTAACAAAAAAGAGTGACACCCAAGAAAGTCAAAATTCATAATTTATTAAAGAAACAGCTTTAAACAAGTTATAGCAAAAATATGTAAATGTAGCAGTAAAGAATCCGTGGGGTAATAAAAAACTGTAATAAATAAAGCTGATGGTGACCAAAAGCTATCAAGCTCTAAAAAAAGATTAGTTTGTCATGGAAGAAAGAAAGAGTTCATTGAGTTTATCTGTGTGGATTTCTCCTCCGCAATCTCTAAGCTCATGCCCACTCACTAGCAGGTTTAATGAGACACTGTCACGTTCTCTGAGGAAAATAAATCATTCTCCTCCGTAGCCATCCCTACACATACAGTACACACTTTACAACCATGTTTATTCTTCATGTTTTCAGCAGATCTGGCCACACATAAAGCTGAGGGACTACAATGTGCTTTTGGCTGTATTAACGTTACATCACACCTTATTAGGTCACATACATATACATACTGTATATGTGTCTGTATAATGTGTGTTCCCAAGTTGTTATATGATGGATATCGGTTCTGCATTCTGCATAAAAAGGGTGTATTTTTTTAATTAAACCTTACTTTAAAAATTGCAATATTTTTATACATTTAAAACCGCATTTTTTTGCTGTAAACCAAAGCTAAATTTTCAGTTTTCTTTTCAGCTTCATAATCTTTCAGAAATCCTTCTGATGTGCCATAACTGTTGAAAACAATTGTTTTTAAGGAAACCGTTCTTTGATCTTTTTAAAAGAATTAGAATATTCTTATCTGATTTATGTATCTTTTATACTGACTTTTGATCAGTTTAATGAATCCTTTTCAAATAAAAGTGTTCATTTCATTGGGAGGAACAGTCATATTGACTAGAAGTACTGATTAAATGGAATTGTACTGTAAATTACGTATTGCAGAGTTTCTGGATTTTTTACATGGAATACATTTTCCTTTTAAACAATTGGTGCTATTATGGTTTATTAAAATTTACTAAGGCACTGTGAAAATTACTTGGTTGCTTTGAAAATTAAATTGAATCAAATTAACCTCAAAAGTAATTTATTATGAGTTAACTTACAAAAAACTGGCCTAAAACAGCTTGTATAACATAAAAATAAATAAGTTGGAACGTTATTAACTTAGTTTAAGAAGTTTTAAATCACATAAAAATGTGTGTCTTATTGATCATATCATTTTTACAGTGTACTGCTTTTATTATGTATAAAAAAATATTCAGTCAGGTTAAGGTTGTTTTTTAAAGCATCTCCATGTGGTCATGTTAGGTATTGCAGCTCTTTGCTGTTGCACTACACACAATCAATTCAGAAAGGTTTTAATGTATGCTTCAGTGTGTGTTTATGAATTATACAGAATATTTATATATTTTTTATTATTTATAATCCTTACTGTTTAATATAAAACTATAAAAAGAACTCACTGTCTTTACCCAATATCTTGTTACCATAAGTTGCTTATAATCGCAATGAATTATTTTGGCTGGTCCCTTGATTGAACTCCTCCGTTCTCTGTGTAAACTCATCCTCCTCTTCGTTCTCTCCCACTCAGGAACAATTCACAGCCATGAGGGACCTGTACATGAAGAACGGCCAGGGCTTTGCACTAGTTTACTCCATAACAGCACAGTCCACCTTCAACGACCTGCAGGACTTGAGAGAACAAATTCTGCGGGTGAAAGACACAGATGATGTGAGTCTTCATCCACACTTCACTATTGTGCAAACTATACCATGGACTTTGGAGAAGCCCACTATTTGGGGAATGGGGGTTTGTACGCTTGCGTGTGCCTCAAAACAGGACTTGCAGTGACTTATAAAGATACATAACAGCTTAAAGTTTATTCACTTGCTTTATGCAATCACTATATAGGATAAATCTCAACTTTACAAAACCCAGTTATACACCATAATAATAACTATAAATTAGCTGTTTTTTGTATTTAGTGATTAATTTTTATTTTTCACCATTTATTTATGCTTTTGAATTGCATTATTGGACATTGATCTTGCTTCCAACAACTTTTAACCTTAAAAAGTTTGAAAAAGAGACTTTTATAAACATTTTAAATAGTTTAAAGTGATATATTGTCAGGGTTGGTGCTATGGATTATGGTACAAAAGCCTTGTAATAAACTTCCAGTACATTAGCTGTTTTTTACAGACTTATTTCTCTCTATATTATTTCTTATATAGTATTTTAAACTACTAAAAATGTGAATGAAAGTCCCTTTGTTAAAATATAGAGTTGGATTTTCAACATTAAAAGTCAACAGTGCAGAGATCCCATAATTCAATTCACAACCGTAAATAAATGGAAAACACTTGTGAATCACAAAATACAGAAGCTGCTAATTAACACATGAAACTATAAACAGCCACCAATACTCCTATTGATTTATTCTAATGGCATTTATAGTCATTTGTACTGAGGTTAAATAGGTTTAAATGGTGAATTAATGAATATCCTTGCAATTTTACACATAATAATCCACAATGATCATGACACCAAACTGAAATCGCACATCAAAATAACACGCTGTCAAATCTTTCACATTTTCACCTACACAGTTTCATAAATCAAGTTTTTAAGGAAGCCCATAGTCTTCTATCTGGTCTATAGTTCACACCCTGCACTTAACACTCAACTTTAGCTTTCATCGTGGCTTGTTTTTAAAGCCACCCTGAGCTCTTATATGCTAGCCAGCGTCAATAATGGTGACCTCTCTGCTGCGAGGGGGGTCGTCTTTGTTGATTTATAAGGACAGAGGTATTGGCCTTTGCTGCTCTGTTTGACAGCTTTGGTTGGGCATGCAGTTTAGTAGTTGAGTTTACTTGTGCATGCTTTTTTTATCTTATCCATTTCAGAGATGTTATCAATAGATGTTTCTAGCGGTTCTTGTTTATAAATGTGTAATGTAACTGCACAAACTCTATAGTGTAAACATGAAGTCTCTTTTTTTATTGTCTTAATTCTCAAATAGTTTTACACTTTCATCAGATATATGTCAGAGATTATACATCCGAGTACACTCACATATATAAGCACAAATTCAATATACAGTACTCTCTTTCTCTTTTAGCAATATATGCTTTCCTTTTGTGCGCATTTAAACTAATGTTATACAAAATAATAAAGAATAAATAAAAGAAAAGAAAAGGAGAGAGACAAATAAGTAAAATAAGTGAATACATAAAATAGGATATACATACACATAAGCAACAAAACTATGTACATGTAGGGAGTGATTCTTTTTTTAAGCTAACATTAAAGTTCAGGTCTATGGGATATTGCGTAATTGGACCCTTTTTCCCAGAATGAAATAAATTGTTCCAATTTTCTGATTTACAAATGTGGTGGTTTCCTCCATTTTATGAGTTTTCAAACATGAATTCTCTTAAACCTTTGAGGGTCTATACTTGAGCACAGATAATGGAATAAAATTGACTTTTTGTGAACATTTTATATGACACAAAAATTAAGACGATTATAACAAAATTGTTTAAATGAATCTTTTAATTAGGTAATATTTTATTAAATATAGATTAAGACAATAATAACGTCTGTTTAAAAACAAATATAGATAAATTATTAACTATTAATAATAGTGTCAAAGTGCAATAATAATGTTGACATACTACCTAAATATTGACTATTTCAAAATTTTGACAAATATTAATAAAACAAAATAATTATTCTGAACTTTTTTTATTAATTGTATAATGGCTTAATAAAAAAGCTTCTTCAGTCTGTTTTGACCTTTTTATTCAGATTAATTGATGTCAGATTCTTTCGAAACCTTTGTTATAATTTATGATTTATTAAAATATCTTTCGTCACCAAATCAAAAGCCATATTAGCGCTTCTAAGAGCTTTAGGGAATTTTCAATAGGAACACAGCATAGCATAGCACAACATAGCATAACATATAACATATTACATAACATATAGCATAACGTAACTTATGACATAACATATAGTATAACATAGCATAACATATAACATAAAATATGACATTACATAACACAACTTATAACATATGACATAGCATATGGCATAACATAACATAACATAACATAACGTGACATAACATAACATTTAGCATAACATAGCACAACATATAACATGAAATATGACATTACATAACATAACTTATAACATTTGACATAACATATACAGTAGCACAACGTAACATATGACATAACATATAGCATAACATAGCATAGCATAACATTACATAGCGTAGCATATGACATAATATAGCTAACCTAATATAAAATAACATAACAAAACAACATAACATAACATATTACATAAAATGACAGAACACAACATATAGCGTAGCATAACATAGAATAACATACAACAACATATGGCATAACAGCATGAATATAGCACAACGTAACATGACATAACACAGCAACATAGCATAACATAACACATAACATAGCATAACAGCATAACTACAGCGTAACATATAATAACATATGACATAAAAGCGTAATATAGCATAGGATAACATAGCCACATTACAACATAGCATAAAATAACAAAATGTCATAACATAACACATAACATAGCATAGCATAACATATAACATAGCAGAACACATAACATGATAATATAGCATAACATATAACATAACATAGCATAGCATAACATAAACCGTAACATAACATAACATGAAAAAGATAAATGATTATCAGTGAACAAATCTAACTTGTTCACCCCTGTAAAATTACAAATAATTGACTTCCTGTTGTTTTGACACTGCCAAATGTGTGAACATCCTTTTGTCACAAATTTGGTTGAGCTTGGATTGAAACATGACGAACAATGTTAAAGGAAATCAGTCCCTGTGAAAGGTGTGTCGGTGTGTGTGTGTGTGTGTTTGAGAACTGGTTCTGAATGGATTCTGAGAAAGATGATATAATGTGATGACCTCAGTTGACCTGTGTTATTTTAGTCCACTTCCTGAACTCCGCTGATTTGACTGTGGGCGTTTAGGTTATTTATTCCATCTTTGCAACCTAGTTCACTTTTTGTATTCGGTACGCAATTTGTTAATTTCCCTGTTACCTTGAAAATATCTGCTGAAAGTAAAGGCAAATGCTGCATCTTACAGTTTCACTTCTGCTGTGATATCTGAATGGTTTCACTGGAGTTGTGTGGGAGTTTTTTTTTTGTGTGTGTGTTTGGTTTTATATGCAAATATGAATGCATGTTGAGCTTTAAAATGACCAAAGGGATTTCTTTTTCTATTAAGGGAGGATAACAGCTGCTGTAAATTGTGGCGCCTCAAGAATGATTTCTGCTAGTTTAGCAACACTGTTTCTGTTAATGTCTCGAAATAGCTCCCTCGATGGAAAACAGACATTAGGAAATGATGATTTTTTTTAAATAATCAAATTAACTACTTTATTACTTCTCCATAATGTGCTGAAAATTCAAATCAATTGCTTTTCATTAGACAATAATGGAACAAAATGCATAGTATTATAATGCTGAAAGTAATATACATATGTTTATTATTATTATGTTTATTATGTCGTAGTTAAAATGTTTGTATAAAACTAATTGTGCTGCCATAATTTTCAAATGCATACATGCAAATATATAGTATACTTGCATACAGTACATGAATACATACAACCTTACATTTATACATACATAATTAAATAATGTTTAAATCAGTAAACCACTGAATAATTCATTAAATGACTAGTTTAAAGAGGTCATAAAATGTATGTTCAAATGTGTATACTATGATTAACAATAAGGCATTTTCTATGCACTTTTGGGAAGATTAGTTATTGCAATGGTTATACAAACAACAGTAAAAAACAAAAAACAATAAAGCAAATATCCAAGTGTTTGCTGATATATTTGCCACAGTTAATCATGTTTAAAAAACAACAGCAGCATAAACTGATTGTGAAATGTGAAGAAAAGACGAAGATTTCATCCTCAGGTGCAACATTAAAAAAAAAAATTCTAATGCTCAGATTTTTTTTTAGAAATTTTGGAGGTGCTGAAACTCTAAAACTCACAGTATTTTTATTGCAGAGTAACATTTCATTTGTGTAAGTATCGCACTAAACTCTGTGTTTGGGGTCTGGTTATAGGTGCCGATGATCCTGGTGGGCAATAAGTGTGATCTGGAGGACGAGAGGGTGGTGGGCAAGGAGCAGGGGCAGAATCTTGCCCGGCAGTGGAACAGCTGCGCCTTTCTGGAGTCCTCCGCAAAATCCAAGATTAACGTCAATGAGGTGAGCCTCTATGTACCCATAATGCGGCAGAACGTCACATTTCTGATGTCAAAGAGAGTTTACAATACACTCCTAATGATGCTGGTTTGCTTTACCCCAACATTGGGTCAAATATTAACAAAGCCCAGAGTATGGTTAAAAACAAGATAGCATTTGCTTAGTGTATATGACTTTATTCAAGGATTTATGTATAGGAATGTATGGCTACTTTTAAATTGTTGCAACTGGATATGTCAATTTTTAGAAAATCCTGGGTTATTTCAACCTAGAAATGGTTTAAATATGGACGCAATCAACCACTGGGTTACATTTTTTAATTAAATTAATAATATTTAGTATGGTTGGGTTTTTCCATAATTTACATACATAGTTGCATACTGTATAGTTGACAAAACACAACACAAAAATGTGCTGGACTATTTAAACTCAAATGCACACACTCTGAAAAATGCTGGGCTGGAAAATAACCCAACCATAACCAAGGTGCTGTGTTATTTTTTGACAAAAGTGTTGGGTTTACTTATTTAGCCCAGAATGCTCGGTTGTTTTTTTTAATCCAGCCAGTGTGTTAGGTTAACAGTGTTGCTGGGTTAAATATGTCTTAAACATTGGGTTATTTGTTGTTTCATTGCTTTGCTACCATTATATTTACTAAAATTACTAATAAAAGTAATTACCAACCACAAATTAATAAAAAGTAATATACATTTTAAAATTATTAATTTGTTCACACATTTCATCTACCCTATACAGACGTATAAACATTCATTCATTCATTTTCCTGTGATTTAGTCCTTCATTTATCAGGGGTCGCCATAGTGGAATGAACCGCCAACTATTGCAGCATTTGTTTTACGCAGCGGATGCCATTCCAACCGCAACCCAGAACTGGGAAACTTCCATACACACATCACATTCACACACACTGTCATACACAATGACCAATTTAGTTAATCCAATTCACTTATAGCCCAAACCCATACGAACATGGGAAGAGCATGCCAACTCCACACAGAAATGCCAACTGGCCCAGCCGGGACTCGAACCAGCAACCTTCTTGCTGTTAGGTGACCAAACTGTTTTATTTGTTATAGCTGTTTTAATGCAGGTCTGTTTTATCTTCTGTTTATTTCAGAACACACACACAACATATTGCTGCCTTACACCCTAAAAATACTGGATTGTTATATCGTTGGGCCAAACAAGAACAATCTCAAAACTTGGTTAATTTTTAACTTTTCATCCCAATGGTTGGGTTTGTATATATTTTTTTTCTTTAAATATAGGAATTTAAACACTTTCTGTGATTGTAATCTTTGTGCTTTAAAATTAAAAACTAATTTTTTAAAAAAAGTACATGGGCTGTATATTAGCCTGATGATGTCCTGGGTCTGTTTTGTGGAGGTTTGTTTCAGGCTGGGCTTGTCTTCTGACATAACTGTGTTGGCGTCACCATAAAGTTGCTCTTCTGTGAGAACAGTGTCATTGTCAGCGAGTGATATCTCTCCATGAAAGCGCAGTCACACATTAGCCAAACAGCAGTCAGCTGCGCCGGCCGGACACACAGCGGCCTTTTGTGAGCGTAAAGACTCCTGCCTACATGACATAGAGCTGCTTTGAGTTCACTCAGTACGACCGCGCTCAATTACTTCTCCTTACAAGCAGAGTTATATGAAAGCCTGTGTGGTTTCTGAAGGTTTACCACAGGCCGGATGATTTGAGGCCCTCGCTTCAGGATTATTCATTTACTTGTGTCAAAAGTGCAGACCTGAGTATCTTTAACACTCTAACCACCATTACGTACAGTCATGTGAAGAAATTAGGACACCATTTTTTTTATCAAGTAGTAATTAAAAATAGGTATTCAAATTTAGAAGATGAAACCTCAGATGATCATCTCACACCTTGTCAGTATTTTATTTAAGATTAATAAAGCATGAAGGAAAAGGCATCGATTCAGATGCTTGTAGATCCACTGTCATCAATAATTACTTCAATCGATTCTTTTTTTCTCTATGACCTTCTCAGTCTCATTTTGGAGCTCTAGACTATTGAACACCTTGATTTTGTTGGTTTTCTTTTTTTTTTGCTTCAATAATGTTGTAAGTTTGCTGATGTAATTATAGGATTATTGAGTTGTTGCGTGTGCCAATTTTGTGTTAACACACACCTGATGGCTTGAAAATGACAAACTTATACGAATGTTCAGTTAACACATTTGATTAGGAGTACCTGAATTATGTTGTTGTTTATCTAAGGTTTTTATTTTCCCAATTTTAAGAGCTGCCAATAATTAAATACATTTTTTTTTCATCATGACATGGAAAAATGTAAATATTGAATGTCCTAACTTTTTCACATGACTATCTGAAATGTCTACGGTGTTTGATATGACATGTTACAACTACATATTATGGCTCTGTCTTGGCAAATGAATGTTTACAGGCATGAAATTATAATTTTCAGTCATCTAAATCAGGGATTGCGAAACTTTTCAGCCCACGACCCCCAAAATAACAATGCCATTGACTTGAGACCCCCAATATCCTCTGAGGTATTTATAAATATGTAAACCATATTGCCACACACATACTAATAGGCCCTAGTCTATTTCTCATTCAGTTTTAAAGATCGCCTCTCGGAGACCATCCTTCATGTTCAGTTATGGCCTGTTTTTATTTTTGATATGCGTGAGTGCCGTAAAGGTGTCAGAAAGTTGAACCTGGTTACATAAAATCAATGTGCAGTCACTTTAATATAACGTAATCACCCCAGGCGTTGCAAAAAAAATATATAAAACCAAACTTTTTATTTCCATGTTGTTGTTTTATTATGTAACTCTTAACTACAATTTTTTCTGTAGGTTATGGATAACATATGCTAATTGTAATGGTTTAATAAAATGAATTTCCTTTTTATTAAAGAGCCCATATTATACATGAAATAAGGTCATATCTTGGTTGTAAGGGTCTCCAACAACAGTCTAATATGCATGCAAGGTCAAAAAACACTTTCATGGTCTTATAATCTGCATTTATTTTTATCTAATTATCCCAGCGACTCCTGTATGAATCGTCCAGTGATTCATTTGTTCCCAAACCCCTCCTTAGCGCGAAGCTAATCTGCGCTGATTGGGCCGATGACAGTCTGTCGCGATTGGTCGACTGCCTTCAGTCAGAGAGGGAAATGGCCAATAGCTAATCAGCAATTTAAAAAGTAATCACAGTTCATACACGCTCGATAGTGTAGGCGTGGACTTTAGCTGCCACACTATGGCGAGTGGATAGTGCCACGGATAACCGAACGAAGGAGACAGTCGTGTACTCGCCATACCACACACACACAAAAACACACACACACCTCCGGATGACAACGCTCCCGCTTCAGCCCGCACCCGCCAGGTTTTAGCCTGAGAACCCGCTCCGTTTTCTGCCCGCCGCGCCCGGTCCCGCTAGAGCGGAGAACACAACCAAATATCACCCAGTATACAGTCCAGACAGCCAAGCTGTCTGTTTAAAAAAACACACACAGCACAAAGTACACAAAGCTCGTTCGTTCGTTCGCTCTCTCTCTCGCTCTCTCTCTCCCTCTCTCTCCCCACGCCAGATTTCTGCGGCGCGGGAATACATTTCCGAATAAATCGCGGGAGCAGAACTCTAGCACGGAGCTCCATAAACAAACAGCACGCGTCGCATTTTTAACGTGACTTTGCACGCGATAAGATAATATATCCAGTTAACCTGATACAGTACACGCGGTTACAAGTAACAAATCACAACTAAATACATTTGCAAGCTAGAGTAAACGAGGCAACAACTTTAACCGCACGTACTTACACTTGAGAAATGTAGGAAGAAACCCATCCTGACGTCCATCAGTTACTCTTTACTGATCCTTCCTTTAACAAACTCAGATGAAGTATTCTTTGTAGCATGTAGCTTCCAGAAGTTTCCAACTGCTTGGTTATAATGCTGATGTTTCATCTTTGGGTAGAGACTCAATATATCCATCTGCAGTGTGACTTCAATCGACCGGCATGTTTGTGTGCGTGTGTTTGTGGGTGTGCGTGTGTTTGTGGGTGTGTGTGTGTGTGTGTGTCTGGGTTACTGCGTCAGAGGGCGGGGCCTCAGGTTTGAAATCTCCCGGGTTTGCGCGTGCACGTGAAAAACTTTGTTTCGTTCGTACGTCATGGCGAAACACCTAATGAGTCGGTATCAAGGCGACTCGTTTGAAGCACTATGATTCGACTCTTTTATAGATGAATCAACAGTTTTAAACACTGTATTCTTACAGATTTAAGCCTTAGCTGGATACTTCACTTCACTTAGAGCTGTGTTACACACTACATGGAGGGGAATTTTCAAAAACCCATAATATGGGCTCTTTAATCAACAAGCGACCCAAAACCCCCCATAGCCCACAACCCCCCAGCCACTGATCTAAATGAGGTTGAGCCGACCCAGGATGCAACACTGACTGTTGAGGTAGTTCACAATTGGACTCTCTATAACTGAGGCATTTAATGCTTCTAATACCAGTTTATTATTCTTCTGTTGATTGCGAATTAAACTAATTACTGGCTTCTCAGGCAGTACGCAACACTCAGTGCCTAGCAACATACAATGATAAAACATAAGCCGTGCTAAAACATTAAGGCATTAAAAGTACATTTAAATATAAACCAGGTTTTATTGAAACTCTTTTTAACAACAAGGAGTGGTAAATAACATCTTTTTTGTTAAAGGGAGAATTGGATAAATCTGTTTTGTACAATTTTACCCTGTGGCAATTCTAGTGTTAAAGTCTCCAACTCTTCTGTAAGCGAAATGCGGATACTGATTTAATGGATCTCTCTCAATAAGATAATGAGGAACTTCAGTCGCGATTGACCACCATCAAAGTGATTCATCGCTCTCGGTTAACTCAGCCAGAGAGCTTCGCTTTTTACAGGCTTTCATGGTTCTTCTTATTCTTTTTTTTACTTTTTACAGCCCAAAGTG